AAGGTTCTTCAAGCTTTCTCTCTAAGGCTCAAAAATAATGGAGGTTAGGCTCTTTTGTTAGCTGATCTTTCTCAATGAAGATAGGATCTGACTGTTTTTGTACAACACACCCATTTTTTCTCGTTGGGTTGTCATTGTTTATGTGTATTTACAGATAAAGCTCCACATGTTGTCTCACCCCAGTTTTATTTATTTTTATCTGGATCCCACACATTAGGACTCATGTTACGTTCTTTAAAATTTGCTTAAGTGGCTCAATGAGCTGTATTTCATGAATCTATGCTGTGGTCTTGTGGGAGCTGTGATGTTTTAGACCACACTTAAGCAGACTTTATTAGCACAGGCTTCAAGCTGCAGTCTGTAAACAGGAAACCGGTGCTCAAATCATCCAAAGTGATCTAAAAATATGTCAAATCTAAGTCCAGTACTGACTCTATGGTGATGACTGTTACTCAGTAACATCAGCATGTTTTTGGGGTGGTAGCAGGTGTCTTCCTCTGCTTTTGTTCTCCTGAGTGGCTGCAGCATGTGACCGCCCTGACAGCTGTAACATACCACACAAGTTCAGTGTCGGCCTCGGCCTGAATGCGTGCGCTCACGCTCACATTCCTGTGGTCCGCAGGGTGTTTGGCTGCACATGCACATGCATGGGCATATTTATGCATGTGTGTAGGAGCAGCTTTCTGACCTGATGCTGAACAAGACAAGGCCTTCTTTGTTGGATAAAAACATGTGACTTCTGCATATTTTTCTGGTTTTCTGATCTTTTTTTTCTTTCTTTTTTTTGTTCATAAACCCAGTCTGTGGAAAAGAATAGTTCCAGATAACCTTGGTGCGCTTTTATTGATTCACGAGATTTATCTTTATACAAAGCATGAAGGTATGCACACAGACACAAAGTCTGAGCAATATCAAGAAAGCGTGTTTGTGTGGGGGGGGGAGAAAGGTGGTTGGCAGGCGTGCCCTCGTTGGTGTCTGCCATCTGGAAAAGGTTTGGCATGGTCTGAACAAACTGAAGAGGCTTTGTGCTCCCAAAGAATGAAAATAACACAAAAAAGCTTTAAGTATAGAAATATCCTGCATATTTCATGTTGGTCGAGACCAAAAAAGCAAAACAAATATTGAGAGGAAACAACAAGAGGAACAGTTAATTAGCAACTGATTGATTTCGTAGCTGGATTTAAAGAGAGCACCTGATGGATTCAGAGTCTCTCAGAAGTAAAGATAGATAGAGGCTCAAACTAGGGTGGTAGTTCAGTGTATTATTGTGAAGACTGTGGATGGCAGGCATCTCTGCATTAAAAACAGACCTGATTTTCTCCTGGAAATCATTACATGGGATTAATTGTAAACTTCTAATAATCAAAATATATAGAATAAGATACAAGAGAAAAAAGTTATTCAACTTGTTCAATGTGCTTAACATGCAACTGATTTGAGACAGTTCTGGTCTTCTTTGATATGTAATATGATCACATTTCCATTGGAAAAACCATGAATTCGCTCTGAAGATGATGGCCATCTTCTCGACTCAGCCTAAGAGATATGGACTACGTCTCTAGATCTTTATCAGACAGGAATGGACAGCATTCCTCTCAGACTAATGTTACAGACTGATGTTAACACCTTAAAATAATTGCTGTTACCCTATTAAACACCTAAAAAAAAGCAAACATTCATGCTAACTCAGGATCTGTGTTAAATCTGCACATCTGGTGTAAATTTCTACAGTCTCAGCATGGACTTTGTGTCTTTCTGGTGGTCAGATTTGTTGTGGACTGACTATTTTAGTGGAGTACACTAACTGGACCCTTGCCAACGTAACAGGAGCATTTTGTTGGAGTTGTATCTGTTCTTGGAATACTGCGAGACTTCAAAGGAGGTTTCCATCATCTTATCTGATTTGGAAGGCTTTGACATCTGTGTTTACTGTGTCTGCAGCTATAATTGGATCCTGAAATTATTAAAATGATGACATCATTCAATCTGAAAAGCTTTAGCTTTCAACGGTTGTAATTAAGGGACAGAGAAAGGGGGTCTGAGGAGAACCCAGATTTGTTGTTAAATCTGCAGGCACTGTTACAAGAAGCAGGGCGGGGAGACATGGTCCTACTCCAGTATTTATGAAACAATGTCTCAGATTTTTCATTTTTAAAATCTCTCCTTCGTTTTATTGTGAGGGAAACATCGATTTATGAGATCTGCAATGATCGTATATTTCACTTTGGCTCTGGTTTCTGAGGACAGATGTGAACCTTTTGGACACAGATGACACCACTATGTCAAAGACCAGTGGAGGGATGTGCTGCCTCTCTTCACGCACAAGTCTTTACAGCTGCTCTCTGCTGGTTTTGTTCCACATCCTGTCAAGCTTTTCTCTTTTTTTTAGGGGGGGGGGTTCTCTTCTTGTTTTTAGTTTTTTTAGGGGTAAAGTCATCTGGAACCATATTTTCTATGCATCTGTGCTATTTTGCGGACTAGTAATTTACAAAGTGACGAGTCCAATATTGTTAATTGATAAATTAACTTACACAGGGGTGATTATCATAGAAAGCTGACTCCTTCTTGTCTGAATAATTGGGAAAATGCATATCTGTGGCGGCCTGGTAACATGGATACAGAATAAAGGATGTAATGACAACCTGCGTAGCCTCACAGAGGAGTTTTGTTTGGGGTCAAAGGTCAGGCGTAGGTCTATGGGTGAGGCAAATGTGACGGACTGCAGTGGCTGTGATCAGCCGTGGGAATTTGGAGAAGGAAACAAGGATCAGCTGCTTTCTGGGAATCGTCCCTGGAGAGAAAATTGACAGAGACTGTGGGAATGTTTGAGGAATCCCAAAGACGTGAACTTCAGTTTGCATCCTGTATACAACAACAACATCAACAACAACAGAAACCAAGTGTGTGAGCTGACAGTGATGGGATCTAAAGGCTGACCACAGCCAATCCTGCTCTGCCCCTCTGAATGTTAATTTAGCCAATCTGAGAGCTAAATGGGTTTAATGTACCAGATCCCCTCTTAAATGGCCAACACATGTCAGGAGTTTTCTCCTCCACGAAATGTTGCAAAGAAGACCTGCTGGGCAGCTAAAATTATCTATCAGACAGGGATGGGACCACATTCCTCTATGGTTGATCATTTTAACCCCTTAAAACGCACTAAACTTAATTTAATTTAGAATATGTTAAAAATATGCACAAAAATATGCAAATACGCACACTCACAGGCAGTCGCTCTGCTCTACTAAGGTCATAATTTCTTTTTCAACTGAAGAATTATCTGACAAAGTCACCATTCAAGTAAATTAATCTCTTAAAATTCTTGCTATTTTACCCTAAAACCTCATGAAATAGCAGATTTTCATGCAAACTAATGTTAGAATTAGGAGTATTAGGAAAATATGTCCATCTGACGACATTCCTGTAACATCAGCTTCTCAGCAAGACATCAATCTTCCTGGATGTAGGACTTGTTGTGGACTAACTATTTTACTGGAGTACACCAACTGGACCCTTGCCAATGTAACAGGAGCATTTTTGTTGTAGTTGTGTCTGTTCTTGGAATACCTCAGAATACACAGAAAGAAATTCTTTTTCTTGGAAGTTTGGAAATCTTCTCCTTAAAGGCTTCCAACGCAAAGTATTTAGCAACAGCCTGGCACCAAACACGTGAACCTTATGGCATGTTTATGTGAGTCCTGCTCACAGCAGCTGGCAGTGTGTTCACTCTACTGGACATTTGATACACAGAACAAAATGTTGGCTCTTTAGAAATGTGGTGGAAACCTAAAGCTGTGGGAAAGTAATCTAATTACACCAAAAACATGTCGGCAAATGTTCACATTCTTTGTCTACTTTGGTTAATAAATGTACGATAATAAACAATAAGTCAGTTTAGAAAGTACTCTCATGCTTTAGTAGCTCAAAATAAATAATAAATGTTCAATAAGCGTAAAGGTAAACAGTTATAAATATTTAGGAGCTTGATTAATAAGTTTGTATCAAATGAACAAAATTCTTGAACAGGTTTACATTGAATTAAATAATCTAAACGATAATCAACTGGAACATTGGTTCTTATTGTTGAAAGTAGATGTATTTGGTCTTGAAATCCATCAGTAAATGCATTTAAAGATTAGGGGTAAGTTATATTTTATATTTGAGTTGGGTTAATATACTTTGTATGTGTGGTCTAAAAAAGAGACCTTACTATTAGAGACATCTGAGTTTTCCTGTTTTCTACTGTAAAATGTGTTACATGTTCACTGGCTCTGCAGATAAAGAGAACAAATAATGATGTAGTTAGTTTTTAGACAGTATAGAAAGGGAAAAAGCGTGATTATCACTTCATAAATATGCCCAAATAGAAGCATTTCTTGCTTTACAGACTGAATGAAGGGTGGATGATGATTATATAATCCATAAAACATGGTGTCCACCACCCAGCATGATGGCCAACAAAGCTGGTGGCTTCAAATTCCTCCACCTCCGATCAAATGAATGGAGGGGAGGAGGAGGGACGAGACTCAGCAGGCCGAACAACGAGCCCTTTATAGCGACCGGCTGCCTTCCGGGTGACTCACCGTACTCCAGAGAGCCATCTCGGGCCCGGGGAGGCCCGTGCTTGTGTTTGCTGAGTTTCGCAGGCATCAGGGACACCTGTTGCAGTTTTCTATCGTTAAATGTGTTTTTCGCTCATACAATAAGAACAAAAAAAGTTTCATCTGATAAGAAAGAATCCTAAAGTCTGCTCCTGGAAAAGGAGCGGAGTAGCTGTTACACATGACACGTGAGTTTCACCCCTCTGAGTCTGCAGTCCAAACAAAGGTAGGGTCCCAAAGAAAGCAAACAAGAGCAGGCTACAGTTAGTCCTGGTTATGTGGGCCGTTATTATGTGTCACATCCTGGGAGTTTTTACTATACACCTGTTTGGATTCTTATTTGAACAGAAAGCATGTCATTGACTTTATTTCCTCTCTTCCTCTTTTTTTTTGGCAGAATCTCGGAGTTTCCTGGACGGCATGAACCACACCGGCGGCTCCACAGACGGAGAGCTGTTCAGGTCAGACGTGCCCGTCACCCCCGCCTCCTGTCAGAGGATCTTTGGCTCCATGTGCTCTGTGTCATCAGGCAGCCCCCTCCCACACACAGACAGGTACCCACAAAGACACGTCTCAGTTTCTGAGGCCAAAGGATGCTGGAAGTTGTTATTTGAAGGCCTAACTTAATTTTTTTCTATGGAAACAATTAAAAAATACTTTCCTCATCCAAAGACACGTTATGTTGCTATTATTTCAGATATAATGTCAAAAATAGGGGCAAAATTGACCCCAAAGGTTCAGTTAGGTGGCAAAAGAAAGAATCCTCCAAGTTAGGTTATACCTTTTATTTGAAAATACACAATTGAATGAGTAATATGAATGAGGTTAAAAAAAAAAAAAAACTCTGCTGCTGCTACCATAATACAGAAAACAGTTAGAAAACTATGATCCACTATCCAGGATGTTTTTCTATCTTTATCTTAAGAAAATCACCTTTGCAGATCTGATGGGAATCTGTTTTCTGCATTTTATGGCCTGAAAATTAAAACAATATCTCACATTTTTCATTTTCCTAATGCACGTGATAAACAGAACACATAGGTTATGGTGATCCAACATGTTTTACACAGCTTTGAAAAACAAAAGATGAATCAGAGAGACCTTCTTTTAATTTTTTCCAACAGAAAACACTGGTTTGTTCTCTCTTATCCATTTCATTAAGCTGTAGGAGGCAAAAATGAAAGAGAAGATGTTTTTCTCTGGTTTAGATTTAAATGAACAAATGGCAAACAGATCTGCTTTGCCCCTCAGAGGTTGTACATCTGCTTCCTCAAAAGCTGAGCCGTGCTTTTATGCTTTGATTTGTCTGAAAATATTACTCTTATGATTTAATTTCCCCCTCCTGTCCTCATTCTCCTTCCTCTGCAGCTTCACTCCTCCTTTGTGGCATGACCAGACACCAAACTCCCTGAACTCCCCATATCCTCCACAACCGTCTCCCCCCCCTCCCCTCAGCCCTCCCGGCGCTCACAGTTCTCCCCTGAAAGGCCCGGGAAGGAGCGCGGGGGTCCGCACGGGGGCCGACAACGCGGACTTGTCCTCGCTGCTGATGCTGAGAAACGGCGGCCTGGAGCACAGCCTGCTGGAAGCCGTGGAGGGCCTCGGAGCCCTGGACTTCAGGGGAGACCCGAGGCTGGCCCCGCTGCTGCCTGAGAAGAGGCGGGGGGGCGAGGCGGGGGAGATGAGCTCACGCTCCCCTTCTCTGAGCGGCTTCTCCAGCCCTCACAGCGGCAGCAGCATAAGCATCCCCTTCTCCTCTTCACTGACCCCTGACCCCCTCAGAGGACACAGCGGGGCCCCGTCACCCGGAGCAGGTTTGAGTTTCCGCTTTTCAGCAGGCAAATCAGTCATAAATACATGTTGTTTTCCCTCATCCAGATTCATTTGATTATGGCCATACACCTTGGACCAAACCTATGGCAGCTGAGCAAATCTAAAATATAACATATTTAGGCATGATAGGCAATCCCTTCCCCTGCTTCACTTCCTGTTCCATTGCTCCAGAGTTCAACCTCTCTGGTCCCTATCAAACTGAAGCCTTTTTCTTATGGCTGCACGGCTGTTCAGTCTCAATCCTTCAGCTCCTTCTCATTGTGTGAGGAAATGCTCTCTCTGTCGCTATTAAACAGCTCTGAGTTCTATTTTTTCTTCAGTCTGATTCCAACGTTTAAGGATCATTCAGGCTTTTCCCCTTCCGCACTTCATCTTGGAAGGCGATGGTTTCCCACTTTCCCCTGCAGTTATGGTCAAAGAACTGGACAGTTTTAACCCAATTTCAGAAGTTTCCACATACCCTCTTGTCCTGAAACAGACTCTCTTCCACGAACACTGGATCCTTCCACATGTTTATTAAATGAGACAGGGTCGGGGTTGGGGTTAAATAACACGCAGACATAATCCAACAGGATGCTCATACTTATTCGCTTAATCAAATCTGAATATTGGTTTGTGTGTTTTATTACTCATGGAAACAGAGATCCGACCCAAACTGCACCAGTCTGTGCACCAGCAGGGCTTCCAAAACCCACCATCTGCTAAGCAACAAAATGAGGAACAAATCCTTTTCCACTGAAACCGTGTAATATTCCAGAATAAATTGTGTAAAGTTAAAAACTTTGAGGGAAACACAGCAAGTTTGTCGAACTCTAAATCATTTGCTCTGATTGTTTGTGTGTCCAAACCATCCTGAGACCTAACTGACAGCTTAACTCTGTGTCTCACAGACTTTGGCAGTAAGCATGACACTGTGAAGTTTGTTCAAGACACTTCCAAGTTCTGGTACAAGCCTGACATTTCCAGAGACCAAGGTAAATATTGGCCTTGGAACAGAGAGCCTAACGGCCTCTTGTGACTGGATATTACCCCCTTATGCAAAGATTTCCCTCCCAAATAGAGTCTGAACATCCTTCTAACTGTAGCTTATCTCCACTTCCTCCATCTGCTGACCCACTGAGCAGCCATCGCCGTGTTAAAGGACAAAGAGCCGGGCTCGTTCATCGTCAGGGACAGCCACTCTTTCCGCGGCGCCTACGGATTGGCGATGAAGGTGGCCACCCCCCCTCCATCCGTGTTACAGCAGAGCAAAAAAGGTGGGTCGAAAAGTCCGACACCTCTGTGAGGAGCCTGCATTGGTGATTTTCATTGGGTTTGCTTCCTGTGATTGATCATCTCCTTTTTTTCCTGGCTTTTCTGCAGTAGACCTGTCCAATGAGCTGGTGCGACACTTCCTGATAGAGTGCACGCAGAAGGGGGTCCGTTTAAAAGGCTGTCCCAACGAGCCCTACTTCGGTGAGAGCAGAGTTAGTTTGCTTTATGTTTTTTTTCCCGAAGACTTTAAAATGTTGATGAACCCATTTGTTGATGGGTGCGTTAAAAAACGTTCCCTCTGCTGCCCTCTGCTGGACGGTAAAACACGTGCAGCTGTCCTTACCGAGGCTCTCTGTCTCCTGCAGGAAGCCTCACAGCTCTGGTGTGCCAGCACTCCATCACCCCCCTGGCTCTGCCCTGCAAGCTCATCCTGCCTGACAGAGGTAAGCAGCCACAGTTCGTTGGCTGAGGACACTCTTTGGTTTCAGAAACTAACGGAAAAATAACATATCTTGATATCCCATTGAGTACTGGGTGAGGGGGCCGGTTTGTAGGCTATGCGATCGTTCCCCTTTGATTTGCCACATCACCACCTTCCCATTAGAAAAACTTGCATTTCATTCAATATGGCAGACCAACTCCAGCCTTTTTTTTAATGGTGACATTTGTCACTGTTTTTGTGCACAGACCCGCTGGAGGAGGTGAATGATTCATCACCACAGACGGCAACAAACTCGGCTGCTGAACTCCTAAAACAGGGAGCAGGTAAAACACTCTAATCCTTCATGTTTGGGTAAACTGGGTGACCGATGAACAGGTGCTGAGCATCCGCTCCTTTTACTCCTCATCCCTCTTAGTTTCGGCTTTAAGGCGCATTTAAATCAGGTAACTTAGCCACCAGGATGTGGCTTAACAGGGATTTATTTCTGGTCAATCATACCAGAGGGCTCTCTTTTAGGAACAGGTGATGTCTTCACTGGCTCTTAATGTCATCTTTTGTTATCATTTTTTGGTGAACCGCTGCTTTAATCCGCGTGTGAGCAGCATGTAACGTGTGGTACCTGGGCTCTGTGGAGCTGGAGTCTCTGACCGGACTCCAGGCGGTCCAGAAGGCGACCACGTCGACCCTCTGCATGGACCCTCCGCCGGCCTGCACCGTTGTCCACTTCAAGGTGTCAGCTCAGGGAATCACGCTCACAGACAACCAGAGGAAGTGAGTGTTGGTGCAGCCTCACGCAGACACACACACACACACACACACACACACACACATAGGCACACACATAATTTTCCATGTTTTCTGTTTGACTCTGCAGGTTGTTCTTCAGGAGGCACTACGCTGTCAACACAGTTATTTTTTGTTCTCTGGACCCACAGGGGAGGAAGTGAGTAAAACCACTAAAGTTACACGTTAAATTGACAAAAATGTTGAGACATCTAACATTTCTGGAGGTAATCAGTGACTTTATCTTGCTAACGCCACCAAAACATCAATAAAAATTACCTGGAGAAAATTTTGAAAATCCATGCATTCCAGTTGTCGATTTACAGATTTCTTCATTCATCTTCTGGAAAATTATTTCTTAAAGCTTTAGTACCAGAAATCTGTAGAAATAAACTTTTAACTGACATATACATCAATTAAAGAGTGAGATTTGTTCCAGATTTTTCGAAATGAGCTACTTTCTCAGTTGTGCTTTGATGTGAATAGTCTAAATGTTCTAAAAGAAAAATAGAGTTGAATTCTTCATGCAAATGTTGTTACTAACCTGTCTGGTTCCTGTTAAACTGAGACAATACCAACATTTTCTTTTCCAAACAGGTGGACAAGAGACAGCGGCTCCACAGCAAAGTAAGTCCACTGCAGAAAAATCGTCCTCCAAATCAGATGAACTTGGTTTCATTTATTCAAAAGCTCATTCAACCTGAGCATGCAGTATTGATTTGACAAATGACAGATTCAGAAGCAGGTTTTCCATTGTGTGTTGTCACATGGGCTAAGAGTATTGTATATCCCCTTTAATTATGTTAATCTATTTTTTTTTACTTGTTTTTATGTTGATGTGTGATTAGACTTATTGTGGCTAAAACTACACCTGAAAAAGTCTAATTTTAGGTTCTGAAGCATCAACATCTGTAGATTTAGCCTATAATTTAGGATAATTTAAATACAAATATTTCACACAAATGTACTCAAATAAAGTTTAATCAAACTTCTGTCTGTTTCTCTGTCTTCCAGGATCTTTGGATTTGTGGCCAGGAAATCTCAGAGTGAGACTGAAAATATTTGCCACCTGTTTGCAGAGCATGACCCCGAGCAGCCGGCCAGCGCCATAGTAAACTTTGTCTCAAAGGTCATGATTGGCTCTCACAAAAAGTGAAGGGATAAGATCAGGAGTTGAGTAATAATAATAATAAAAAAGGACCAGGGACCAACCCCCTTATTCCTTAAATATTTTAAAAATACAAAGATCTCCAAACTTCCCAGCCTCTGATCCGGAGAGTCCTGCTGCACTGCAGGATACGGCCACCAGAGGGAGCCAGTGCACTGACCACCGCCGATCAACAGCTGGGAACCCAAACTGCTAAAGTTTTGTCCCTAGAACTTTTTTGGGAAGAAAAGGAAAGAAAAAGGAAGTTTCTAAAAAGTTCAACACCAAACTGAGGTTAGTTGTTGCTCTTCACATCACGTAAACTTGGACTGTGAGATATTCTTCACACCAACGTGTTTTTTAATTACAGTTTGAGATAATTCCTCCCCTTTAATTATGTTTAAATCAGCTTTGAGCAATAGTGGCCACAGGCAGAAACCAACAGCAATAATGTGGCCGTACATCAGATGGATTTATTGTGTACTGTGATATTTATCCCATAATACAGATGTGTAAAATCTTTTCTTGCCATATATTTTTTTATATCAACACACATTGTACATTAGGATAAAAGGAAATTATCTTGCATATTGTTCTGAAAGAAAATGAGATATTTAGCATAAGAGACCCTCTGTAATCTACCTATGTGTACTTGTATTACTAATATAGTTGTCAATATGTTCTTCTACCATTAATACAAAAAATGTACAGCTCTTCTTTTGTCCATTTTCGAGTTACTGCCTCTTTTTACGTCTAAATATGAGATGAAAATACGTCTTAAGCTGCTCTTCTGTGGTTTTCTTCACAGCTCTGCCAATAGGTGGCAGTAATCAGACATGGGATCCGTTTTCTAAGCCAAAACTTTAGTGTATTTAAGTTTAAAAAAAAAACAGCTTCTAGTTTGCTTTTGAGCCTCTTTGAGTCTTTTTGTCTGAGCATTCTGGGATCAGAACAGGAGACTGTAGCAGAGGAATCAGAGCGGGCCCACACATGCACAAAGAACCCCCCCTTCCTCCTCCTGAATAAACTTGTCAAAGTGTGTTGAGGTTTGTGTGTCTGAGCTTGTGTTTGTGTGCCTGGGAGAGACAAAGACTATCTGCTGGTGCACACATGGGTCTCCAGGTGCCTCGCAGACTGACTGACGGCCGTCTGTCCTCGCCCTCGGCCGAATCATCAGATAGCGGCTTTAAATGAGACGCTATTCAGGCTCTGGGTCTCTGCGGGGAGCGCTGACAAACTGAAAGTGGGACAGAGACATGGGGACGCATTGCCATCCAGCAGTCCTGCCTGGCCTGGGGGGACAGCATGGAGCATGGGGGGTGGGGGGGGGGGGGGGGGGGGGGGCAGGGGTGGTGTGTGCATGTCTGTGTGAGGGGTGGGGGTGGTTGTCGGTGGTGGATGACCTCACCATTACGGGAAACTTTCCCACAGCCTGCACACAAAGAAGGCCGTCAAAAGGTAAAAAGGATGAGAAAGAATAGAAATTTAACACAGTGTGTAAAAAAGAAGGAGGCAAAGTGTTGGAAGAGCGGTTAGCGGATGAGAAAGAGCTCGTCTTAGAAGGGGGAGTCGTGTTGCCCTTTCAGAGATCCACAGGGATGATAGCAGCTCCCTGCCCTCAGCGCGCCTTCTGCTGAGTCACCGGCCGCCATTTTCTCCCCCGGCTGGACCTCCGCTGCCACTTCCTGCTGCACTTCCTGTCAGGCAGTGTCCCAGCACCTGGCGGCAAGGTGGTTTCACAGCCGCACGCTGCCGCCGCCGCTGCTGGACGACATCACATTCCTGGCATTGCTCGCTCCGAATGGTGTTTGGAAATCCAAAGGCCAGCTTCCGTTCGGGAATGCCTCCCTCACAGGGTCCCTCTCAGCCTCTGATCCCCGGCCTCCTCTCACTTTATTTGAGTTAGCTATTTAAAGCCCGTGCTAAGTGCACTGCTGGCTGAATGGGGGGGGGAGCAAACACACACTGCGTCTCACACCCTAAAGCCACAACGACCCACAAATAATCCCACTTCTATTTTTAAACTGGTTTGCTGAGGGTACAGAGCCTGCAGGGTTACATTAAACAACCTTATCAGAGGATAACAAATATTATCTGGACTTTACATGACTTTACCCGGCAGCTCGAATGGAAGATAAACATTTCAGTGTGTGAACAACTGTATTTAATGTGCTGCTTTGATCAGTTCCTTTCAGAGTCCAATTGATGAGTTTCTTATTTTCTCACTTTATAGGTGCAGGGACATTTCTTAGCCTTTTTTTTTAATTACCTTTAATGTTAATTTGGGGAGGAGTTTTGTCCCATCCCCCCAAAACCTGATTTAGATTCTTTAATTCAATGATTGAATTGCTTTCCTTTTTACTGAAGGAACTCAGTAAAACTTATCAAGGTGTATTGTCGGAGGAAGCACAGTAGGAGAAACAACTGGCTGGACTCAGTATGAGTTCCACCTTTTTTGGTGATTTTTACAATAAGAGCCTCTTCAGATGGGCAGAAAACAACCAAGATCGTCATCCCTCCCATATGACAGCTGCTCTGAGCTTTTTGGGTTTAGCTTTGATGCATTCTGACCAAACAGCTCCACTTTGCTCTGCTCTTTGTTCCCTAAGTCTTAGTTCATATCCAACCTTGTGAACCTGAGCCGTGCTGCCATGATCTTTTTCCGGTGCAGAGTCTGCAAAGTCTGTTTCTAACTGATTATCTGAGCTACAGACTGACAGATGTGCTAATGAACAGTTTGTTTCCGCAACGGTGGGACAGCCATTTTAGATCCTCTGATGCTCCGAGTCACAAATCCAGTGGTTTGGGGGGTGTTCTGCTCCATTTTCCCAGGAACTCTGAAATTCCGCCCTCTGAGTTCAAATGAATCCCAGTCACAAATGAACTCCTGATCAAGACCCCACTGTGTGCACAGATGTCCCCCCCAAAAGTTAAACACTCAATAATATTTCAGCTTTTTAAGCCTCACAGATTTAAACTTTTCAAGCCTCTGCAGAATGATGGACTCCAGTTTTAAATGGCCCCACATTTTCAGATTTATGGTGCTGCTGATGTCTTTCCTCCTTGGAATCGTGTGGATGCACACCTGAATTCTGCAAACTTATCAGACTTCTGCCTCTACAGAGCTTATCTGACTTTGAGGATCAATTGATCAGCAGCTGCTTGATGATACTTTTACCTTTGATACTGAACAATTGAATAGGATTTCCTAAACAAGAATCACTTATTATTTTGTTTTTACGTAGAAAATAAGCTCTTCCCAGTCATAGTACAGAAGTCTATTGTTAAACTTGTGAATAAAGACAAACTTAATCTGTGACAACCACGACTAAACAGCACTGAGGGAAAGAGGACTCCCCCACGTGAAGTATTACAGTACACTGTGGAAATCTCCTTCAACTTTGGAACATAAATATGTCAGTGATCAGAATGAAAAAATCTGAGTTGTCATATTACTTGGCATCCAAAGTAACAGAAGGTTATTCAGTCTTCATTTTAGCATTTTAGCTCTGCTCAACAAAATACCTGAATACAAAGGTCATCCTTTGTGAATCTTTTTTACACCTCTTGGAATCTCAAACACCAAAATGTTCAGCTCATTCACGAGACGAGCACCTTCAACTTCTCGTATTTCCACCTTCCGAAGTAAGTGCACAATAGGAGTGCATTTGTGTCTCCCGAGGTACTGTCTACTTTGGTATGTACTGCATATGGCTAAAAATTCCTACTTTTAGAGGCTCTGAAAGGTGCACATATGTTCCCAGTTAGTACATGGACAAACTACAAAGGAACAACACCAAGATCTTTGAGAGAACCACATCACAATACCTAAAAAAGATGATAACATATTATCTGTCACCAGGGTGTAACCTGGCCCTCGCCCAGAGTCAGACTCCCAACCCAAAAACCCTTCTAGGAATAAGCGGTATGGATAATGGATGAATTATTTGTCAATATAACCACATTATTTACACAACAGGTATAATCTTACTTCAAATTTAAATGCAAAATTAGTCTTTTCTTTACACTATGTTGGGTGTGTAAAACAAGGCCTTTTAGTCAATTATCAGGCTACTTTTTGGGAACAAACCAGTTTGAATTAGGGACTTCCTTTCAGTTTTGAAGGGGATGGGCGTTCATCTATCTAAAAACAAAGATATGAACGATATCACAACTTCATTCACGAGCATGCAAACCGCACAGAGAAAGGATTCAAACCAGAAACCCTCTTACTCCATCTACTATTTCATGCTCTCAGTTTTTATTCAGCTTTGGGTTTAAGCAGCTTAAACTTTTACCACAATTAATCATGCAGGACTTTCAGCCCATTAACGCAATCCAAGTGCAGCCTAAATCAATTCAACAAAGAAATGCTCTCTCTGGTTTATTGGTGGATTTCTGCTGCAGCAGACACTGAACACGATTCAAAAGAAAGGCACAAGTTTGCCTCTTTTTTTATGATAAAGCACAAATAATTGCTTCGGGGAGGCAAAATCTATGCAAAGATATGCGTTTCTCCATCTGTGTCAGCGTCAGCTGAACCCAAACTGAATCAGCAAAAGTGATTCATTGCATTTAATTAGTGATGCAATGCCATGAGAGCAAACACACACTCAAACACTCACACATACCCACATAATCCCCCCCTCATTAGGTGTATTGTAGGAATGCTGATGTAATGCAAGTTAATCTGTTGGCCTCTGGTTGGCTCTGTGGCCCATCGGGGGCTCTTTGTGTGGGACATTACCCCAGCCCCGCCCCCTGGAGACAGGTTCATTAAGACTGACGCTGATACCCAAGTCCCCAGACCTTTTGTGAGTGTGTATACCTAAAACAGTGTGTTGTCAGTCGGTTATAGCGGAGACAATGCAAAGAGGAGGGCGGCCATAAAGACGCTGTTTTCCCAGGCATGTGCCTGAGCTCACGTAGGCCTGAAATTTTGATTGGCGTGCCAGGGTGAGTGTGTGCGAAGGAGCCTGTGTGTGTGTGTGTGTGTTTCATGAGGGATA